AGCAAGTTGAGCTCATTATAAGGAATGTATCATGGAAGGTGTTTTATGGGTTTTTATGGCTTTATTATGTAATTTAAAAAATGACCAATATTCAGGAACACTAGTGGTTTCTCATCATACATCATACCACCTTAAGGTAACTTTTTCTTACAGACCTTTTTACATATTTGCAATGAAACATTACATAAGACTTTGTTTTTTATTTTCATTTATTATAATCTCCTGTTTTTCTACCAAAATTTTAAAAACCTCTTTTTATGGTTGCACTTTTCATTTTATTTTGCACTATTTATTAAATTAGTCTCTTAATTTATGGGACTAATTTACTGTGGTCTTAAAGAAGTGTTCCGCTTATAGTGGAGTCCAGCAGAGTATTGAAAATCTGATTTTCGCTTTAAGAATAACAGTTTCCATGGAATCGTGATAGTAGAAAAGCATAAAATTGTGTTAAACATGAATTAGTGATCAGGGCGCCTGGGTGGCTCAGTCGGTTATGTGTCCGATGCTTGGTTTTGGCTTCAGGTCATGATTTCATGGTTCGTGGGTTCAAGCTCTGCCTTGGGTTCCATGCTATCAGTGGTGTCCTCTCTCTTTGCTCCTCCCTCATGTGCTTGTGCTCCCCCCTCCCCCAAAATACTTAAAAGAAAAACAACAAACAAACCTGAGTTAGAAATCCCTTCATTTGTAAAAATCCAGATAAGTTAGGAAATACTCTTTTCATTTTGGTTGGGTGGGATGTCTGCACTGAAATGTTAATTACTGTTTATTTAAAATATAATAACAAGGCTGCCCGGGTGGCTGTCAGTTCAGCATCTCAGATTTCTGCTCTGGTTATGATCTCAGGGTTTGTGAGTTCCAGCCCTGTGTTGGGCTCTATGCTAACAGGGATGGGGGGCGGGGGCATGCTTGGGATTTGCTCTCTCTTTTTCTTCCTCTCTCTCTGCACCCTCCTCCTCAAAATAAAATAGTAAAAACAATCTTTTAAAGTATACTAACAGTTACAACAGTGCTTTTTAAGCTAAAGGTTGGGACTCGATTTAGTCTATTTTTGTTTAGAGACTACAGGTAGGGATTATAGGTAAATGTCAGGGGATGGTGTCAGTTTATAAAAAGCACTTGGTGGTTTTTGGTATGAAAGTTGCAGTGTAAATTTAAGTATATATGAGAACCTAAAACTCTAGTTTTACTGATAAATTCTCCCAAAGTAAATGTCTGTTACTTGAATAAAAAAATTTTTTTTCATATGCACATTTAGAGCTGTTTAAGGTTTGCTGAAAATTAGGATTTAAAATATGAATAAAAAGTGGAAATAGAATTTATGAATATAAATATAATTATCTGTATATGAAGAAACAAAGTTGATGCTACAAGAACATATGTAGATAGTTACGTAAGGATTATGTAAATCATAGGGCAGGAGTAACAAAACTTTTTATTCTCTTTAGTGTTGTTGAGGTTAGAAAACTTAAACAACCCCAAGTCCTTGAGTCTCTTTCTAGATACAAGTTTCACCTCCTAAAGCTAAAAGAAATTGCTTATTTTCTGATGAACAGTTATTTCATTTTAATGTGATACTGATTTTAGTTAACCAGTTTTGCCTTACTTTTCAGAAAATTATTTTTTTAAACATGTTAAAAGTGGGTTCCTGGGGCGCCTGGGTAGCTCAGTAGGTTAAGCGTCCGAGTTCGGCTCAGGTCATGATCTCACGGTTCGTGGGTTCGAGCCCCACGTCAGGCTCTGTGCTGACTGCTAGCTCAGAGCCTGGAGCCTATTTCGGCTTCTGTGTCTCCCTCTCTCTCTGACCCTCCCCTGCTCACTCTGCCTGCCTCCCTCTCTCTCTCTCTCTATCTCTCTCTTTCTCTCTCTCTCTCTCTCTCAGAAATAAATAAAACATTAAAAAAAATTTTTTTTTAAAAAACTGGGTGCCTATGTTCTTTTGTCACTTTATAAAACCCATGTTTATACTTTAAATCCCCCAAATTAAAGCCATTTTAAGAATGTATCTTTTAATTGTAGTTATTATTTTAACTAATTATATCATAAAAAGTATTCTCGTTATTATAATTTTTTGTTAATATTAGAAATATTTCTGATAGTTCTCTGATTTCGCTATAAGAATTTATGTTATCTGTTAATAATAGCTCTGTTCTCTTATTTCTGAATTCTGTGGGTTTTTTGTGTTATACCTAAATCCTGTGTAATTGTTTTTTCTGTCATTTAAATCCATGTACTTATTTTTCTCTAATCTCAAATGCTCAGAGTTGAATAAAACCAACTCTCACCCCATCCACTCACAGAAAACACCTTGCCATCTTACATCAGGAGAAAGGAGGGAGGATTTTAGATTTTTCTTTTCACTTCTTAATTAAAATTCACTCTTAGGTACGTTTCTTTTGCATCTGTGATTGTTGAATCTCTAAAGGTTGCAGTTCAGTATGTAAATTTTCTTGGTTAATGTTAAATAACTTCTATCATAATAGACGTGGAGGCCCTACTATTTGTTACAATGATATTTTATATATAATTTGTTTGGGAATGGAGGAATGACTTTCTCCTTCCTTTCTTCCTTCATAAGATCCTTTAAAAGTCGGCTTTAGGGGCGCCCGGGTGGCTTAGTCGGTTAAGCGTCCGACTTTTGCTCAGGTCATGATCTCGCGGTTCGTGGGTTCGAGCCCCGCGTCGGGCTCTGTGCTGACTGCCAGCTCAGAGCCTGGAGCCTATTTCAGAGTCTGTCACTCCCTCTCTTTCTGACCCTCCCCTGCTCACGCTGTCTCTCTCTCTCTCCTAGAAATAAATAAAACATTAAAAAATATATATATAAAAAAATAAAAGTCGGCTTTAAAATTAATTTAAAATAGATTTAATTTAGAGAAGTTCAGCTTTGAAATCAGATAGTCTGTTACTCAAAGTAAATATAAGGTCGGGGCGCCTGGGTGGCTCAGTCGGATAAGCGTCCGACTTCGGCTCAGGTCATGATCTCGCGGTTCGTGGGTTCGAGCCCCACGTCAGGCTCTGTGCTGACAGCTAGCTCAAAGCCTGGAGCCTGCTTCAGATTCTGTGTCTTCCTCTCTCTGACCCTCCCCTGCTCACACTGTCTCTCTCTCTCTCAGAAAGAAATAAAATATTAAAAAAAAAAAAAAAAAGTAAATATAAGGTCTAACTGACATGGAAAGTGAGTAATACCTAGTTCTCAGGAATACGCTACTACTTTTTTTTTTCGTATACACACACATACGAAAGTTCTTTGTCTGAACTTGCTGTCTCAGTAATCTTGTAATCCTGAAGTCTCCACCTCTTTTAGGCGCTCTGGACTCTCTTATGAAGCTACAGATTGCTTTTATCTTGACGCTCATCTTCTAAAACAGATTTAAGATGAACTGAAACACACTGATGTAGCTCTGGAGTGATCCTGTTCGTAGCCGTTTGCTCCCTTATGACTAGGGATTAGCATATTGGGAAAATGCATGGACTTCGTTTCTACCCCAGAAATTAAGGAATTGACCAAACTCTTAAAGAACATGCCACTATTTTTGAAAACCTTAGAGTTTGGAAGTTTTAAAAAATAAAAAAAATATATTAAAGTGATAGAGAAGATTTTTTTTTTCTCTTTGGAAAATATATTTTGGATCAGGACTGAGTTTTCCCCAGAGTTTCATGTCTTAGATGTGGTAGTAAAAGAGGTTTATGTCCTAGTGTGTTTTAGTTAAGCCCAGGTTAGCATGCTGTCTGCATTTCATCACTTTCCATTCAGTGTTAGCTGGCATCTGGCAGGTAGCTGGTAAACTACCATTTGTCTTAGAGTTTAAATTTAGGTCAGCCTGTTGGCTGTAATCTTCCAAATCTAATAATTTGAATTCTAATTTGGCAGCTTGAGTGTCGTTCCTGTTGAAGAGGGAAGTTGTTCTTGGGATGTCCAGGAATTAGTCCATCTTCTTATTTTCTACCTCTATGGAAATGCATTTTTATGTCCTGATGATCAGTTCTAAAAGATTTTTAAGTGATTAAATTCTTTGCATAATTAAATTCGTGATTCAGTGTGTTTTAAACTTAGTTTATATGTACGCATAAAACGTGGGCTGAAGTGTGCACTATGCTAAATTATCTCCTTGGCTGGCCTTTTTTGAAAGCTGAATTCAAATGATATTGTTAATGACTCTTTATTATGCTTAGTCCTTTAGAATTTTAAATGGTCAGCATTTCGGAAAAATATTTTGGATCTGCATTTGTTTTACACGGACAAGATATAGTCCATTTATGAATTTGATATATAGTCTTGTAATGTTTCAGTAGTTCTTAAAGCCAAAAGTACCATGCCGCTTGACTGTGTAAAATGTTGCAGCATAGTACAGCTGTGAAGAGAAATGTTTTCCATTTAATCTCGTAGTAAAATACTATGATAATACATAATAAAATAGAAGTTACATGTGATGCTTGTAGGCATTGAAAACATTGGAGCCTCTGGGACATTTTTCTCATATCTGGATTCCCCCCAGGTCTTCCTTGTTCTTAAATGTTTTTCTTGTCTTTACTCTTTTACTTAAAAACAATGGACCACAGTATTGGGGAAATGCCTTAAGTGCCTATAAAAAAGGAAGTGAGTTATTTTGGAATAAAGGTACTTTTGACCTTTATCCTGGTAGAAGTGGTTTAAAGATATTAAACTTGAAACTTGTTGCTCAGTTTTGAGGTAGTCTCAACCTCCCACTTCTCTAAAATGTATTAGAATAGTTTGGTAATGATGGGTATTTGACAAGGCAAATTTTATATTTTCTGGGGTTAAATTCTGCAAACGAAGTAATTAAAATCCTCAAATTTGATTAAAATATTTCCTTCAAGAATGTAATTATACCACCCCAAAATATGGAAATTAAAAATGCTATAAATTCTTTCAGTAACAACTTTTACTCAGTAAATAAAGCACTGTGGAGTAATGCCTAGTAGATTCAATGTCTGTTTTGGGCTTAAAGTGTGTTAACTTACTATATTTGATTTTTAAATAGACACCAAATCCTACTGCAAGCGAGTTTATCCCTAAAGGAGGACCAGCCTCCAGGCTGAGTAACGTGTCCCAGTCCAATATGTCTGCCTTCTCTCAAGTTTGCCCTCACCCCTCCACGGGAAGTCCTGCTGCTGCTGGATTAGCACCAGGTAAGTTGAGTAACTATTTCCAGTGAGTTCCAGATAACGTCTGTAAGCACCATTTGCTATTAGTTTATCAGAACTGAAATTGTGACTTGAATGATTCACATTTGGACACATTTTGAGTTTTATGTTCTCAGCTTTGGTACCATAGGTCAAATTTGTAGTTTAAAATTTTAAAGCAAAATTTAAATATGCACAGAAGTTATATATAAGCATGTTTAAAAGCACACAAATTTAAGAGAGAAAATGGTTTATTGTGAAAAATATCTACTCGGACCGTAGTATTTCCCTATTTTTTAAAATCAGTAATAATGCTGTTTCACTCATAAACCTTCTGTAAAAGCATCAGAAATAGAGTATTGATGTGTGTATATGCTTCACAGTCTTTTATAGTAAATTTCTAAAAAATAATTCTGTATCATTCTAAATACAAGTTTAGATGTATTGCCTTTCAGGTGTTTGATTATAAATCTATTGTAGTAATTTTAAATTGGGGTGAAGTATCATAAACAGTAGTAGGAAAGAAATGTATTAGGGGTCATTGAACTAGAGAAAATAGTACTCCCCCCCCCCCACATTTACCCATAATGGCAGAATTCGAACAAATGCGCTTATACACCAGGGGTCCTGAGGTACAGTTCACAGTCACCCTTTGTGAATCCTATTTTCTTTGAAATCCCCTCTTTTATCTTAAAAATTAATGCAAATTTCGTATTGTATGCTATAACGTAAACATTTATTTTAATATAACAATATGAAATCTTCTTAGATAAATAACAACATACTTCCCTACTGCTCCATTCCTTAATTAGGAAACCAAGGTATGGAGAATTATGTTCAATTTATATTAAGGGCTAAGTAGGTTATGCTGTGTTTATAAACTGTTTGAACTGCTCACATATATTATGTTTCTGGAACCTGTACTGGCTAATAATCATTTAGTCTTGAATGTTTCAAAACACAGAAATGAATTATGTATGTACTATGGAAGCCAGAAAGTCCACCTAGATCAGCCTGGGACTAGTACTGCCTCCAGGGCTTAATCCCATTAGTGAGATGAATCACTGGTTTCCATATGGTTACTGAAGTCCAGGGTCTTTTTGAGATGAAGAATGAGAAAAGATGCTGATAACTTTATGGAGCAGAACATCTGGTTTAGCATATAAAGTATCAAGTATACTTAGAGATGGAATAACCTTGGTTGCGGAGGATTTTATCAGTGCCTCCTTCCGCCACCTTTTTCTCTCTTGCTCTCTTCCTACTTCTCTCCCCTTCCCTCTCCAACCCCTCCCCCTCCCCTGTCCCCTTACCTTTTCTTCTACTTTGGCTCTTTCCAGGGTCAGTTGAATATATAAACATTTTCCCTTCTTCCTTAGAGAGCAGTGTCAGAATTGAATATCCCTGGTAGCCTAAAAGTTTTACTTGTAAGTAATATGCTACTGTGATTCTTCTCCCATTGAGGTGTGTTCACATTGTTTACCTGGGCATAATCTACATGTCAGCTATACATCTAAAATTCCTCAAAGATTGTCCAGACTTCTGAGCAGTGTTTATAAAACACTCACAAGAATGGTATCCATATGCCAATCAGAAAACTCAGACTCTCAATGAAGTACCAAATATTTTGGCCTAATGACACATCTTCTCTTGTTTCAAAAGTAAATATTTTGTTCACACCTTTGATCAGACTAGTTCAAGCTTGCCATTTAAAAAAAAATAGGCTTTTTAAATATTGAAAGAGTTAAAATGTCAGAGGAAATTTTAGATCTTGAAAACTTTTAGTTAAACATCTTATTAATGCTGTGAAGTTCTTCAGTAGATGTCAGCTTTTGTGTAGGAGGGCGTTTCATTGGTCTCACCTGGGCCACAGCCTAAACGTAGGGCAAAATTAATTACTTTAAAATATTAGGTTAACTGGGAAACTGTTCTGTTCTCTATCACTCTGACATTAAAAAGGTCACTTATTACTAATGAAAGTAATTACTGTCTGGAACCATTGGAGATGGATCAGTATATCATATTAAATGTGTTCCTGAATACCTATTATTTAAAAGTTATTCTTCATTGAAATGACAATCAACTAATAAGCTAAAGTATTTTCCACAAATACCGGGATCATGAATGGTTTTGCATTTATTATTTCTTCATATTTTCTCCTTTTAGTTAATGGCTTAACACTTTCTGGAGATGAACAAAGAGAAAAAAAATTAAGTGTCCCTTCAGTGTCTTTCATCACTTCTTACCCACAAATGTTATTTTTTTCAAGGCCTGGGAAAGGTTTTTGGTATTTTCACTTTAAAGTTGTAGAATCAGAAAAGCGGTAGAGTTCATATACCTACCTTGGTGATGATTTAATTTATCGTTAATACTTCTTGTCTGTCGTAGATGTAACCTGTTAATAATTTTCAGTTCATAAAGTTTCATTTTCTCTTTTATTTCTATTTTAGAAATTATTGCCCTTGAAAATATATCAAATTACTGTTTTTCCCCCTAAAACATGAAACCTTAAAATTTTTGGCACTCAAATGTAAACTACAGCAATGTCATTCTTATCATATATGAAAAAAATACATATTTAAATATATCTTCTGACCAAAAATGCAAACATATTTGAGCAAAAATTAAGTGGATAATTAGATTTGAATTTTTCAAATTAGGAGGAATAAAAACATGCCTGGTACACAGTAGACCCTGGGTGAAAAAGTTTCTTTCTTAAAATGTGTTTTCACCACTTTTAAAACCTGATTTGCATTTTTAAAAAGCTTTAATATAAGAAGTAAAACTGTACAAAGTTATTTGAATTAATTCAGAACTAGTTAGGTTTAAAGGGTATTTAAATTGTTAAAACATGCAGCACACCTTAGGCTTCCATCGAATTGCATGCATAGCCATTTCATTCTGCTTTAAGAAATCAGGATCTACAGGCTTAGCTGTTGTGTGCATATTTAATTAAGGACAGTAGCTAGGTACACGCTAAGTATCTCATGAATAATTGTTATGGGAGTGTTCGGGTTATGGTGCTCAATTTGGACTTCACTGTCTTGGAGAACCCTTATAGTTATATGCCTGTTTTTTATTTGTAAACATGCATTTTCCTCTGGTCAGCATGTGTTATCTTCATGGGGATGCACAACCTTCTGAAAGTTAAGAGCCACTGGCTCAACACACACTTAGCAAAATTCATTTCTAGAATGTATTTTAGTAAGAATATTTCAAAAAGTAACAGTTAAAGATACATTTCTTTTCTAGTAGCTCTTGCTTTAGGTGAAGTTTTTGAATAGATCTTTAGAAATGAAAATATGACTGCACTAAGTGTATGAAATGATAGTTTATGGTTTAATTTTTTTGTTCCCTGAAAAATAATTTTATCATGAGAGCTAATTGCTTATTGTTTTTTTTTTAATCACAGATTTACCTAAGAGTGTGTTGACTCGATAAGTAGACCTTGTAAACTAAATCTTGCTGTACTTTGAGTTTAACTGCCTCAGTGCTAATTGCAGTCCATTTGAAAGTCAATTTAGGAGAGGCAGCAACAGGAGCACACATTTCTGGGTAGCGCACTGGTACTTCTGGTGGTTTACTGCACAGTTGGGAGTCTGGATTCGAGCGTCTCCTGATCCACTTGGCTGTGTGTGGACACTGGGGAGGGACAGAGGGAGTGCTTGAATTTGAAACCCATCATGGGTTTATCAATGAGGAAGAGAGCCATACATGGCTCTCAGTATTTTCAAATAATTTATTTCTTTAAGGTGAGGATGGTGCAGATTTTTGGACTGTTAGATATATCTTATTGTAAATTATTAGGAGAAGTGTCAGGTGATTTGGGAAGAAGCATTTAATTATCATACTAAACCACTATTTTTAAATAATTGTACTTGTTATAAATTTTACTGTAATATTTTAGAAAAATCTAAAGAAAATAAGTTTTTAGGTCTAGTTTGTTGAAATAATCATTTCTTCTTATATATTCTTGAGGGTGCCAAATTGAGGGATAAAGCTAGATAATATTGCTTATCTTTTGGCTTGATCAAGGTGGGGGTGGAAGGTGACAGGAAAGGAAAAGGGGAATTAATATTTTTCATCATTCTTGTTCCAAAATATTAAACACCATATATATAATCTTATGTGTATATATATCAAAGGGTGCTACTTAAAAATATTTATTTTTGTAGTTTTGAAAGATTTGAGTAAGATTTTTTTCTTAAACTTCTGTGCTAAAAAATAATAAAGTTCTGGGATTCATTAGCTCTGTGGCATTTCATATCATACATGAAGAAATGGAGGCTTAATTCATTTCATTTGCATAGTAGTTGGATTATGGAATAATCTGACAGGTGGTCATTCATTGGGGTGGAAATTTTTGGGGTTCAATAATCAAGCCTTGTGCTTATTTAGAGGTGACATTCTTGACAGGTTCTCATCTAGCTTCTGCTTTGTCACTTAAAGTAAAAAGGAATTCATTGGCTAAGCAGGGTAGCTCAGTGTACATTTGAAAAGCTTGATTATAAAAGAAAGTTATATCTTATGCTGAGCTAAACTCTGTCTTGTCTTTTATCCACTAGTCCTATTTCTTTTTCTGTATTTAATGGAGTAAACCAGAATCTTCCCCACATGATAGCCTTTTCAGGTATTTTCTTTTCTGGACTAGTTATTATGTATGTATGTGTCCATATAAGCGATCAATTTGTATGACTGAAAAACAAGAGAGAGGGCAAACTGGGAAATATTATTAAAAGTAACAACTTATATAGGTCAGAAATTACGAACTCTTCTAAGTCATCGTGGCTGGAACACTACTGTGGATGAAAGTAAATCCATAGGTATGTCTGCTCAGTTAGCTGTATTACTACTCTGATACCCAGCTAAGAAGTGTGTGTACCTTTGGGAAAATAGGAAACTCTGCTAATAGGTTGAAGGTGTGGTCTTGCTTGTGGTGAATACCTAGTTTCATATTTAAAATTTTGCTGGGTATCTTAGACTCTACATTGAAGTCACTGAAGGCATAT